GTATCACACAAAAGCCACTCTGAGCGGCAAACAACAAAAATAAACACTGAAATAACTAAAGAAAATTAGTTTAAAAAGAAATTCAATTAACAAATAGGAATCACAATGCAGGATTACCTCTCCCCCAAACATCCAATCGATTATTTTCCTCTAAGGTAAGTAACACAGCACACAGAAAAGTTGTTCTATTTCAGTATAGTACTAAAATGCAGGCTTTTGCCATTTGGTCCATTTACATTTTGCTGATTATTTCAGCCTGCTGTATCAGAAAGAAAAGTTGTGTGTGTCTCGATCTTTGGACATAAAAAACCAGAGAAATTACATTCTTCAGCATAGAAGCAAATTTTTGAGAAATCTGTGCATTTTTTTTTTTTTTTTTTTTTTTTTTTTTGGTTAAGCATATTTATTTTATTACTTTCATTCATGCAAAAACTGTGAATTAATCCCATTCCAGATGAGGATTTTACCATAAAATTTAAATAGTCAATTTATTAGATTACAGAACAATGGAAAAAAGCTTAATCCACATAATACCTTGCTACTGAACTCAGTCAAAATTACACTAACCTTACACATTTGCCTTCTTAGAGATGCAGGCATAATAATTCATTCAGAAAAGCTAAAAGACAAATTTAAAATAGAACAGATCTGATAACTATACTTATTCATCTTTACGTAAGAGGCTCAAACATTTATAAAACTACATGTAACCTCCAGAGAACACAGACACCAAATTGTTTAAACAAACTACAAGTACTCACTGCAGACCTGACAGTAATATTAAAGAAAAATTAATAATATCATTATGCTATCAAAATCTTATCTTTCCTAAAACTGTAAGTGCAAATCTGAAGTTGCAGTTCAAACGTGTAGAAAGCTTGAAATGAGTAAAATAATTCAGGTGTATAACACTATTAATGTTCTGTGTTAGCCACACAGTACTCAAATATAGATTGGAATTTTAACCAGGGGAAATTTCTTTTTGGTGAAAGAAAGATAAATTCAATGGGGTTGTGTTTCTGAAGGAGCAGGGAGAATCCTCCAACAAACATTCTGTCATTGCCAAATTGTGCTTAGGCACTGCACTCAATTAGATCAGCTTTGGCAAGCAGATTTGCAAAGCAAACACCTGTACAATCACAAACAAAATCTATTCACACTCTGAAGGTATGCAGCCTTCAATCAACATCTCACAGTATATTACAGAACATATTCTTCCTGGAGCAATAGGCATAGAAGACCTGCCCAGTCCCCCACCTCCACATCAATGCTTTAGTTTTTAAGCAGAATCCACATTTCCCAAATTTGATACTCATTCTTGGGACTCTACAGGACAACTGTCACCTATTCTACCATGTTAACTTGACGTATCCTATAGTAGAATTAGATATATATGTGAAAAATCCAGTTTGCAAAGATTACAAATGTAACAAGCTGCCAGTAAACAGTTCCTATATCTACATATGACGGTGCAAGTTAGCAGTGTCATAAAGGCACTTGTCTCTCACAGACAGTACTGTCTTCTCTAATCAATCAAAAATAGATCTTAAAAATATTTAACATCTGAAATGGTTTTTACTCCTTAAAGTGGTGCAAATCATCATCTATAGAACAGTAATTCCCTAGTTCATCATGAAAGAGCTGAGTGCAAATTATCCATAATTGAATATATCTTTATAATTAATTCGTTTTAATGCCATGCTCTCATAAAATGCCAAAAAACATGCCATAGTAGAAATGTGATTGGCACTAGCAGCCACAAACAAAAAGGTAGGTGCGTACAATTCTACAAGCAAGCTTATTTATGAAGATAATAAAACAATTAAGTGATGAGTTGCAAGGAGAGACATTTGCCACAAGTCTTTTCCAAGACATTCTTGAAGCCACACCTGACCATGTATCACACATTTACATCATTAGGACATCTTTATAGCTAGCTACCTAATTTTACAAAAATAATTCCAAAATGCTCGTTTCACTTCAAAGTGAATTCTGTTTGTTTTCACCAAATGTGAAAACAAGATGCAACAGCAGAGTTTTAAAAGACACCTAAGCAGCCACTAAATAAAGTTCAGTGCAGTTTTCAAGGGTTTATGGATGGCAGTTTGAAATCCTCGAAATCCCCTTTATCTGTTTGGTATAAACGCACAGATTTTCCTCTCCAAGTCTCAGTACCTTAAAGCAATGACTTGAAAGAGTTTCCACCAACAAAAGATGTGTTTTTGCAAATCAAAGGGCTCAGGTATTATAAAAAATTGACATAATTGGCTTTGCCTATGTAAATGCTCATTTGCAGTTGGCATTACAGCTCCATTAACTGAGAAATCTAGACGGTGTGATGGATGGAATAAATCAAGTACAATCCAGAAGCCAGCAGGCTTTTTGCCCTTAATACTTTCTGTTGTAACAGCACATTAAGAGTATATCCAGACTGCTGTGAAGTTGCTGGATGGAGCCTCATGCTTGAATACTAATTTTCACGTCCAGTCTCTTTAAATAATTTTGCCAGTATCATACCATAAGGAAGTTTCTGTGTCTTTGAAAAATCTGCATTCACTGAACATTGCACAAGGCTATTGAAACAAAAACAGGAGAGAAAAAAAGAAAGAAAGATAAAAAGCCATTTGTTCAAGTATTAAGCTATTCCTTCAGAGAATTGCACTTCTTTGCTTATAGCAGTGACCAGAATTGCTGATGGTGTACTGACAGTTGCCATGGCAAGTGGGTGACTGCGTGGGATAGCAGACATATAGCCCAGTCAACTGCTTATGCAATCTCCGTGATTTCAGCAAGCACAGAACACACCACTTTATTATGTGCTGCCAGTGATCTGCATAAAGTGCCAGAGGAAAAAGTGTTCTTCTGTGTCAGGCCGTGGCTGTTTCAGTATTCCCATTCATCTGTTTTCATGTCCAGGTAGTAAAGAATATTCTGTGCAAGCTTTACTGCCTGCTTCCTGGCAGCCTTACACCGCTCGTCACCTTGTGGATCAACAGCATCCAGGGCCAGAAGCTGTTTTGTAAGAAGTTCTTCCAATCTCATGTAGTTTTTATCCGTTCTGTTTCCATCAAATGAAATCACCTCTTGCTGAATTTGAGACAAGTTTCCAAGAACAGTCCAAACTGCTTTATGAGATTGATGTTCGGCAGCAGTTTGCTCTGGATACATTTGCCTTTTCTCCAGTGCTTCCTTCAAATCAATATATGTTATAAGAGTCTGAACTTCAATTACTGCTCTTCTCCTGGCCTCTCTAATACAGGGATTTTTTCCAGCACTCACCTCATCTAGGTGGGCAATCAATCCCTGCAATTCTGCTTTGGATCCCAAATACAAATCAGAAGCATTCTCTGTTTTTAAAAGTAAAGAATTAACTTCCTTCATCTTCTTGCGGATCTCTTCTATTTTTAGAATGGACTGATTTTGTGCCAAATCATAAGCGTGAGTAGAATTTGCTTCCTCTTCCAAGTCCAGGTATTTCTGCAATTTATTGATCTCTTCTACTACTTCCTTTCTGTAATTTCTGATTTCTGTGCGACCACAGACATCCAAAGCATCTAAATCAGCAATGAGGCCTGTAAGCACACAGGACAGGTGCCTGCAGGTGTCATTCCTGCTCACTCCCATCAGAAGAGCAATAAGAGTTCCTCTTGCTTTGTTCACATCACACATTACAGAGTTAATTTTGGCGACAGAAGGATGTGCATCATTAGAGAGTGGCAGGGACAGCTGTTGCTTCATACCATTTTCTATAATCTCCTGAACAGCACACACTTTTGTCAGAGTGCGATACCTTGCTTTGCGTAAAGAAACTTTCCCTCCAGTTTTCACCTGGGTAAGCCTCAACACAATGTCCTGGATTCCTTCTTCAAATTCGTCACTAATACAGTTTCCTCCTTTGTAAAAAGGCGTGATCTCACGTTCCACAAGAGACTGTGCCTCCTTGAATATGGACTCTATTTCCAGTCTGCGCGGATGGTTTGCATTTTGTTCCAGTTCCTTCAGCAGCCTCTCTGTTTCCTGGGCAGCTCGCTTTCTGGCTTGCTGGATATCCCCCTTCCCTTCCGTGTCTACAGAATCTATTTCAAAGAGCTGTTTAGTAAGGCTCCTTTCCAATTTCTTGTAATCTCGGTCGGTAGACAGACCACTGAAGACAGCCACTTGCTGTTCAATCTCTTTGACTTCTTTCTGTATTTCATGCAACCGTTTTATGGATGGGTGTTGGTTACCCATATCCATTCCTCTTCTCTCGTCCAGTTTCAGATGAACTGTAAGGCAAAGGAGAACAAGACTTGCTTAAGTGCTATGCAAGCACAGGTCGCAACTTTCACTTCCTGAAGCACTTCAGCACTAAAGCTATTTTAAAAATCTCTAGCAATAGGCATAAACCACTTGGCTGATATTTCACCGCCCTTTCTCTAATTTTTTTACACCTTTCTCCCGGTCGGGCCGCAGGGGTGATGCTTGAGTTGCCACACAACCAGCTCTCGGCGCTCACCCACAGCCTTCAGCCCTCCCTTCCCCACCTGCTCTGCAGCTGAAGCCACCGCAGAACAAACAGGACACCCGAAGCCCAAGGGAGAACCCGGAGGGGAAGGGGAGAACAGCGGCTGAGCGGAAAACAGCGGTTGTGCCACAACCCCGGGGCAGCGCCGCCTTCCCCGCACTCACCTCGCTCCCCTTCAGCACCCGCCGCCCGCGGCCCCTCCACGGCCGCCACCTCCCGCCTCCCCCGCGGCGGGGCCCGGCGGGGCGGGCAAACGACAACGGGCTGCCGCGGAGGCACCTGCGGGAGGCTCGTCCCCGGCGCCCCCGCCCCGCCGCCTCAACTCACCCTTCGGCCGCCCGGCCCAGGACCCGCTGCCCGGCCCGGCTCTGCGCCACGGGCCGAGCGCCGCGAACCGCCCGAGCCCCGCCCGGCCCGGCCGCGCGGAGGGAGGCGGAGGCGGGGGCGGGACCGGCCCCGTCCCGGCCCCGCCCCGCCCGCAGCGCCCGTGCGGCACCGCCGTAAAGCGCCGGGGCATGGCGGCCGTGCCGCTGCTGCTGCTGCTGCGGGCGGGCGGCTCCTGCCGCCGCCACCGCCGCCTCCTCACCGCCTCCTCCTCCTCTTCCTGCTCCGCCGGCGGCGGCCGCGCGGCTGAGCGCGGGGAGCGGCCGGACAGCGCGGTAAACCCGGACGGGGGGGCGGCAGCTCCTGCGGGGGCCGCGGGGGAAGGCTCGGGGGCCGACGCCCCCGCGGAGCCCCGGGCGGGGAGCGCTGGTGGGGCGGGGGCGTCCCGATGGAAACCCGCGTTCCCCGCAGAAACCCGCGTTCCCCGCGGCCTCTCGCCGCGGGTGTGTTTGCCGAGGCCCCCGGGGTTTGTTGTCGCCCGGCGGGGCCGTGAGTGGCGGGGCGGTTGGGTGACAGCTCTGCCCGAACCCGTCCGGGGCAGGTACACGCTGTGTGTGGTCACATGGATGCAGGAACAACGCCGGGCTTTGGTAAACTTAGAATCATAGAACGACCTGACTTGGAACGAACCCATAAGGATCATGTAGGTCTGACTCGCGGCCCTGCACAGGACAGCTCCAAGAATCACTCCATGTGCCTAAGAGAGTTGTTCGAAAGCTCCTTGAGCTCTGTCAGCCTTGGTGCTGTGACCACTTCCCTGGGGAGTCTGTTCCAGTGCCCAGCTACCCTCTGGGTGAAGAGCCTTTTCCTAATATCCAGCCTAAACCTCCCCTGGCACCACATCATGCCATTCCCTCAAGTGCTGTCACTGGTCACCAGACTGCAGAGATCAGTGCCATAAAAAGCTTGCGTATGTGCTAGTTCTTGCCATCACGTATTTTAACGGAGTGTTAGTGATAGAAAAATGAAAACAAAAAAAAATGTGCTTTTAAAAAAACATACTGTGATTCATGTAACAGAGTCAAAAGTATCTTCTCTGTAGTGCATTTTTAAGTAAAAGTAAATTGTAAATGTATCTCATTGTTCTTGGTTACAGTAAATGAACGTGCATAATTTCGGAACTTATTATGCTTGTATGTTTTAAGGTGGCGTGGAGTTTTGGGATTTATTTCAAATCAAGATATGAGCCGAAGTGCTCATAACAGAATTCCGTCTGTATTTCCCAGGGCCTGGGTTTCAGCCCCCCCGCACACTCCCACAACGACTGGATCGGGCCCCCGGACAAGCATTCCAACCTGCGCCCCGTCATCTTCTACGTGCCCCCCGAGGAGTCGCCCCTGGAGCGGCGGCTGCGGGAGGCACGGCAGGAGGCCCAGGCCTGCAACCAGCGCTTCTGGGCACGGCACAACTGTGCCTTCCGACAGGTGAGCCCGACACAACACCCGCTGCCGCTCAGCGCCCGCCTGCACACCCGAAACGGGGAGGTGTGGGCTCCCTGAGGTTCTGCCTGCCCTCAGTGGCTGGTAACTGCTACAGTTTCTTTTAAAACACAGTGTCTTTGCAGAAATTATATTTTTTGTCATTCATCTCTTTAAAAAAATCCCACATGTTTTATTGCTGTTTAGTATTACAGAATATTTGCCTTTTATCCTGTCTTGTGCTGAAGGTATAAAGTTGTAGCTGCCTGACATGCAAGACCTGTCTGTGACTAGAGCAGCCGTTGAAAATGATTCTATAGCTTGTCTTCTTCTGTCCTAAGTGAGAGAAATTAGGTGTAATTACCACAAGTAAAAAGGGACATGCACCATTTCACCCCAACAGTGCTAAAGTGAGGAATTTTCAGTCATGCCCTGTCTTCTTTCCTGATTTCAGCATCTCCTGACCAGTGCTCTGGGGTTTTTTTGAAGCACAGTAACAGTTCAGTAATTCACCATCATTTGTGATGAACTTTGAATATCATATGCTCCCAAAACTTGCCAAGATCCCAGACAGAAATGAAGCTTGGTTGTGTTTTTGTTTTTGTTTTTTTTTTTTTAATTCCACAGAAATGCTTTTTAAGTTTGAAAAACACACAATTATTGTGTTGCCATCTAAGTAATGTTAATTTTTTTTAGGCGGTATGTTTTTCTCTGTGCTCAAAAACTCAGTTACACAGTACAGCACATCTCCATAGTTTGTCTTATAAGTTGAAAGTTTGGATCCTGTCAAACAATCCTGAAGCTCAGCTGTAGCATTATTCCACAAGTAAGTTTCATAAGTATCAGTAGAACGTTTGCATGAATTAATTGAGCCTTGCAGAGAGCAGGATCTAAGTAACAAAGTTACGGGTTTAACTAACTCACTGGATTGAGGAAAATGTTTAGTTGACACTTCGAAGTATAATGAGTTGTTGCTAGTTATTTCAGAGGGTGTTAAACACCACATTGCTATGTAATTAAAAACAATGGTTAACTTCAAGGACTGACTACATCAGATTCTAATGTGGAAAAACATGTTTTAGGAAAAAGAAGAATTTATTTATTCAAGACTGAAAGCCAAGGGTCTGGAAATGAGAGATGAAAAAGGTTAGTGAGATCTTTGTTTAAAGTTTAGGATGCATTCTGAATTCCACTTAAATTTGAATTTTGTTAGTTTCTGCTCTTTGTCTTCTGTCAAAAGTAAATCTTACAGGTAGGATTTAGAAGTGTTTTCAGGAGCATGATAAAAAAAGAAGGGAGGAGCTCTTCAGAGATGTGCATGTGGGGGTCAGATCATCTGTTGCACTCTTCTTCCCTTAATTCCTTTCCCGCAGCAGGAGGGGATGTGCTGAAATCTTAGCCCAGTAATATAATAGTTTTATAGCCTGTGGAGGAAGGGGCTTTTTACTTTCACACCTCCTAACCCAGTGAGCTGGCTGAGGCAAACATACAGAGTGTTTGCCTCAAGTGCATGTTACAGTTGGGTGGATAAATTCACAATATTTGCCTTCAGGTCCGTAGTGTATACAATGAACACAATATTTTTCCTTCAGGGGAAATAAGACAGCTTCTGGGGAGATGGCAGCTGCTATCTGCCTGTGTTTGCCTGAGCACAGTTGCTGTAAAATAGTTGCCTCTCTAATTCATTATGTGAAGCTGAAAACAAAATGCCTTCATAATAACAGTGAATTGGCCATTGTAGTATGAGGTTGAACATTTTGTTCATAGAATAATGATCTGTTTGAGTTTAGTAAAGCAACTGCTCTGACATTCTGTGTATCACAGACCATTATTTTTTATCTGTTTGTATCCTGGTGATCAGTGTATGGTTGAGAAGTAATTTTAATTAAGTTCTGTGTTGTTTTGAAAACACTTCTTTTATATTGCTATTTTGTGTTTGTTTTGGTTTTATACCCTAGAGATAAAAAAGAGTGAGCATGTACCTTCCTTAAAAATATAATTATATTGACTGCATGCATCTATTACACAGCTGTGAGTGTATATAAAAATAGACAATAACCATATACATGAACAGTTGGAACAAAATTTACTGTTCTATGTAATTAATCAGTTCTGCTGATACCAATATTAAGGTTTTACTAAGGCAGCCTTCAAATAGTTTTAAAGCAAATTTATCCCATAGTATGTTAATCCATTGTAACATATTAGTTTTGTAAATAATGACAAATAGAACCAATCAATAATTTACACTTCTGTGATCAGTCTCAGGAGCCTTAAAATGCGTTTTGAAACAGTAACAAGTTGAATATCACCATTCCATCTCCCTCACCATATTCATGTTCTCTGGGACATTCACATTTGACTCTCATTGTAGGGACATTTTGTTCCAGAAGGTTTGTATGGGAATTGTCTGGTAGAGTTGAGAATATTTGTTGGTTCTCAGGATTACACATCTGTGTTGTATCCACAGGTTTTCCTGTCCTTCCTTTTATATTCTGCTGATGAATGGCACATTTAAAATCATCTTTTGTATTTGTTTCTTCACGAATCACTAGATTGTTTGTAAGTCTGACATCTCAGAACGTACACTTTTTGGTATAAGTTACTTGAAATTTATCAACAGTAACAGAAAAAAACATACATCTGAAAATACCATGTCAGCTATGGATAGTGTTCTTTCAATATTTGCTTTAAGGGGGGAAATTTAAATAACTAAGTGCTCTTACTGGTATTGTTTAGACTTACAGCCCTGGGAGAAATTAGTTTTATTCAAAAGATAAAAGGGCTTTTTCATAGGGGTTCACTAGTTCCCTAAATCATCTAAGGGCTGATAAACTTAATCACTTCCATAAATAATAGGGACTTAGGAACTATGTCAACTTCAAAATTATCGGTATTTTTAATCTGCTGTGTTCCCTAGCTAAGTTTTGAAAAGTTGGAAGATAAAATTCAGAGTTACACAGGAAGCTTGTAGGAGCAAGGAGTCAGACCTCGCTCTCCTGCATCTGAACCCAGGGTTTTAATCCAATTGCCTTTGTTAAACAAACACTTATTTTTAGGTCAAAAAGCAACACTGAATGCAGAAGAAATGGCTGACTTTTACAAGGACTTTCTAAGTAAAAATTTTAGAAAACATATGCAGTATAACAGGTATGTAGAAGGTATTTATGTTGACCATTATACATTACAGACTAAGAGAAAGATAAGGTCAAGTTTAAAATTTGAACATTTTTCCCCATAATTGGTGAAACAGCACCTAAAACTATAATTTTAGACATTTTTTACGCTATTACGAGTATTTGACAGAAATTTGCATTATTGTTTGAGTTCTGCTGCTGCTTATTGTTTATTTAGTGGAAAGATGAAGCTTGTGTCTGAGATTTAAAGAGACAAGATCAGGCACTCAATTTTTTTATCTTAGGGCATGGGTCTTTCCATGCTGCTAATTGAAACTGATAAATATGCAAATAAACTGGTTGAAATTTCTGTATAACAGATTCTAGTTGACTGTTAAATGAGGACTAATAAATGTGATTTGTCTCGAAAGAAAATTGTTTCATTGAAGTAATATTTAATATTCTTGGTTCTATCATTTTGCAAGCATATAGTAAAAATGAAAGTGATTAGCCTTGAGTTTGAGGGGGTTTTTGTGTGGCAAGGCATTAGTAAATTGATTGCCTGAACTCATCCAGTGTAGAACCTCAGCTATAATTTAGTAAACCCCCATCCACCTTTTCACAAGATCTTTGTTTCATTGTTTCAACGTTACTGTTTGTACAATAACTTGACAAACTGGGTTGGGGATCTGAAAGGACTGAAAAATTACTTCTGAACACACATAACCCTGCAAGTAGCTGTGAACACTTGACAAAGAGCTAGAAATGAGGAAGGAATGGGAAGCTGGAGGAGGACAGCACTTAATCCAGTCACAGTAATACTGCCCACTGAATATGAAACCACAACTTCAGTTTCCTCTCTGTATTGGATTGAAAGGTTATTGGGCTCAAAAGTATCGAGTGTTACTGGGTTCCTAACGGTGCAATGCTAGTGAGAGTTCTGCTGTCACTGTAACTGATCTCTAACAAATTGTGGTTTAAGGTTCTTCCTGTAAGAACAATTTAACTGTAAAAAATATTTAAAACAAATACAGACATCTGTCTTGCCCATGGGGGACAGGGCGGCAACCTCACTATAAACTGAAGCAACAGATGGAAAGTAAGAAATTGCTTTTAGTGGAAGGATTGTTGTTCAAATTGCCTATAACTGATAAATGGGAATGCAAGTAGTTTATCTTGGTACTAGTCACCATTTGCCATTGTTGGAGTGACCCTGTGATAGTGTCCCATCCTCATGGTGAGAGAATTCAGGCTTTGTGCTTAAATGTGATCTTCCTTGTTGCTGCCTTGTAAAATCAGGTAGTGTCAGCTGCATCACTGTAGTTTCAAAGTAGAACTGCACAGCCCTGAAAGCAGCAGAGCTTTTTACTGGCACTCTAATTTTGAGGGGTCATGTTATAAAAATCTGTTTATGCATTTAGCTGTATGTTCTTTTGCAGTATTGCCAGCTGGCCTGAAAACTGTGGCAGCTGAAGTGTCGCAACTTCTAAAATTTAGATAAAATGGAAGCAATAACTGTGCATAGATGCCTTGAATATTTAGTTCAGGGTACCTAGACTGGAAATACAGTCTAGTTTAGGAAAAAAATTCAAGAAGGATATAGGAAATTAAACATGAAAGGGGAAGAGAAACAGTTGCAATGTTAGCATGATATTTTGATTTAACATGACATCTGAAGGGGTAGCTCAGTGTTGCTTGTCAGTGTGAATTTGGCTACTGTCCTTACTGAGAGGTTAGTGTCTCGGGCTTATGTTAGATTTGTACATGCAAGATTTCCCACAAAGATCTCAAGAGAAGACCTAAATCCTAGTGTTCATTGTTCCTTGCTTGTTCTATGATTCTATGTATTCTATTACTGCTTGTGCAGCACTTTACAAAATGGGGGCAGGGTTCTTGTTAGAAATTAGAAAGAAATTTTGATATTATTTTAGTTTGTAATAAGGGCAAGAATTTGAAGCAAGTTCTCAGAGGTTAAAAAGGGCTGATACAGACTATTCTGTGTATAACTTGAACTGGTTCCAGAAGCCATGCACACTTCATAAAAATTAAATTATTTAAAGATGTAAAGACTAACTCCGGCAATAGTAAAGGCATCATCTTTAAAGGATACTGCAGTAGAAAGATAATGTTTCCTGTATTGGGTTATACAATAATATTTGAAGTGTGATTTGATTTTATTTTTCCCTGCCCTCACAGGTGGCCAACTATGCCCTTCTTGACACATCCACTTACAAACAAATCTTAGCCATTGCACAGCACTGTCAGGAAGTTATGCTAGATAGTTTGGTGATCAGCTTTACTTTTGAAACATGAGATATGGTGTTAACTACTTTATTTTACCTGATTTCAAATACAATTAGAACCCTGTAGTCCATTCATGGATGTGGACATACACGTAGACTTTTTCACAGGTTATTTAACTCCTATTAGGCAGGAAAAGTGTTACCACAAAGAACACAAAATGCAGGTTATCACTGAAGTGTCATTTGTCAATGCCAAAGGATATTTTAATATAATTGTGTACCCTTTTCCTGTTCTTGTTCTGTGTGCTGATTATTTTCTTGGCTTTGGAATCCTAGAGATTGGTATAAACGTAATTTTACGATCACATTCCTCATGGGACAAGTAGCACTGGCAAGAGCTCTGAGGTGGCTTCGTTGGAAAAAGAAAAATGTAGAACGTTAATCACAGCTCTGTGAAGAATGCAACACTAGCTAGGCCTGGTATAAAAATGTTTATAGTGATGTTCAGAATCTGAATGATGTAATAATTGCTTGAGTCTGTTTGTTAAACTATGTCAATAAAAGTCAATATTGGTCTTAATTTATAATCACTACGCAGATTTCCTTTAACCTTTATTCCAAGAAAATATAAAATATTTCTCCACCAAAATAAAACTAAGAAAACTGTTAAAAACTCTTTCTCGTTTACATCAAATGGAATGGGTAATAATGACTGTCACATTTTTACCACAGAACCATGGCTGCTAAATAACATGTGATTCAGTCTGCTCTCCTGAACTCTGGTCACAGAATGATGTCTCCACCAACCATATTAGTATATAAAGACAAAAATGCCTCATTTTGCAGCAGTTGCCTGTCTGGGGCAGTAGCAATCCATATGTAATACAAAATCGATGAAGGAACAAGTATGATTTGTGAGTATATATGCAATCCATTTTGAATAATCCTCTCTTCAGTGTGATTATTCAATATTTTTAGTAAAGATTTAAGATAGGATTTCCTATAAATTACTAATGCAGTAGGATCTTCATAAATATATTTTTTTTTATTAAAAGGAATGTGTCTTCCTTGGAGAAGAATTCCTCTAACCTATAATTGGTAAAGATTTTAGTTGCCAAGCAATAAAGCAGATGCTTTATTGCAGATGCAAGCCACTTAATCTTGGTAGAAGAGGAAACTGGTAACTGCTGTAAGGAGAACAACCTTACTACAAGTAAGCACTACTTTCTCCTGGTTCATTTCTTTCAAAAAAAGATGCTGTTCTCAACAGTTTCTCTGAGGCACTCAAAACTACTCACCTGAGGGTGATTTTTCTGGCCTCCAGGTATGTAACATCACTTGGAAGTATGTTGGTTCAAGTGAAGTCTTAAAGTGTTATGCCATGTATTTGTAATTTAAAAGAAGTTTCATTCCCCAGAATGTTCTCTCTGCCCTTTTATACAGTTAAATGATTTTTTTATCCACTGCCTACTAAGAGGATTCTGATAAAAAGAATGTATGCTGTCAGATGAAGTGTATTTTCCTAAAGCTTTGCTGTAGGGAAGGTTCTGCTTTTGGAAACATCATCTCAGTAGCCATTGACCTGTTTTTCATATCTAAACATGACATGATTTATTCACAGACTTTTTCAGCTGGAGCAAAAAGAGCTTTGTCTGTTGTATCAACTGTAATAATTCCTTTGCAAGATGAAATAAATATTAATGATATAGTAGTGGATCTCACTGTTGCATACAATGATGATATTATTGGTGCTAAAGTGGTCACTGAATTGTGTAAGTGTTGTGTTATTAGTAAATTAAAACAGTAATTAATGGTGTTTGCTGAGATAATAGCCAATACTTCTAGCAAAAATATTTGTGAATGTTACACTGCATCAGTGCTGTAATTAAAAATTTACAAAATGCCACCTTTAGAAAAATAACTTTTTAAAATAGACTACTGTGGGTATGTAATGTAAGTCTTCAGGGTTTTACAGTAAATCATATCTTACAGCATATAAACTTTGACCATAATGTGAATGCATACTTTAATAAATATTTCTGATGTAAAACAATGGATACTGTAAGAAAATACCCCAGAAAGGGAGGGACCAGACTGGTGGTTAATGACCATATGTTCTGACAGCCTGTGTGTAAGATCCCTGAGGTAGTTTCACATGCTTTAAGTGGGTAGAGGTCAATCAAAAGCATTTTCATCTCCTGAGCTGCTCACTTCCATTAACACAGACATTTTTGTGTCTGCCTGCTGAACCAGATCAGGAAATTGATTCACTGCTAGAATTAATCCAAGGAAAAAACTGTTCGATGTTGGTTGAATTAATATGCCTCATCATGCAGATATGTGTTGTTTGGCATGGGGGAGCTGTGGGAATTCAGATGGAAGGTTTGGATTGTGCTTCAGTAAATTCACAGTTAAAACTGTTTTCTGAACATGTAATTTTAGTATTGATCACCTAAAACCAATATGAGCACACAATGGATCATGCTAGGATTCCGCTCTGAGCTTTTTTGTCTTTTAAATACCTCCAGGGACAGTGACTCAAGCACTGCCCTGAGCAGCCTGTTCCACTGCCCAACAACCCTTTTGGTGAAGAAATTTTTCCTACTACCAGACCTAAACTTCCCCTGGCACAATTTGAAGGTGTTTCCTCTCATCCTATCACTTGTTATTTGGCAGAAGAGACCAACTCTCACCTCCCTACAACCTCCTTTCAGGTAGCTGTAGGGAGCCGTAAGGTCCCCCCTGAGCCTCCTTTTCTCCAGACTAAACAACTCCAGTTCTCTCAGCCGCTTCTCACAGGACCTGTGCTCCAGATTCTTCACCAGCTCCACTGCCCTTCTCTGGACTTGCTCCAACCCTCAATATCCTTATCATGAGGGGCCCAAAACTGGATGCAGCACTTAAGGTGTCTCAACAGTGCTGAGTACAGGGGGACAATCACTGCCCTCATCCTACTGGCCACGCTATTTCTGATCCAAGCCAGGATGTCATTGGCCTTCTTGGCCACCTGGGCACACTCTTGGCTCATGTTCGGCTGCTGTTGACCAGCACCCCCAGGTCCTTTTCTGCTGGGCAGCTTTCCAGCCACTCTGGGCCCAGCCTGGAGTGCTGTGTAGTTGTTGGGATCCAAGGGCAGGATTTGGCACTTCCCCTTGTTGAACCTCAGACAAATGGCCTTGGCCCATCAATCCAGCCTGTCCAGATCCCTCTGCAGAGCCTTCCTACAGTCCAGCAGATCAACACTCCTGGTCATCTTGGTGTCATCAGCAAACTGACTGAGTGTGCCCTCGATCCCCTTATCCAGATCATTGATAAAGTTATGAAACAGGACCGGTCCCAAGACTGAGCTCTGGGGAACACCATTAGTGAACAACTGACAACTGGATGTGGCACCATTCGCCACCACTCTCTGGGCCTGGCCAAACAGCCAGTTTATTACCTGGTGAACAATGCACCCATCTGAGCCATGAGCAGCCAGTTTCTCCAGGAGAACGCTCTGGGAAACAGAGTGAAAGGCTTTACTGAAGTTAAGGTAGACAACACCCACATTTCCCTCATTCTCTGCGGGTCATCTTGTCACAGAAGGAAATCAGGTCAGTCAAGCAGGACCTGCCTTTCATAAACCAGTGCTGGCTGGGTCTGATGCCCTCATTGTCCTGCCCATGCCCCATGATGGCATCCAAGATGATCTGCTCCATCACTTTCCCCGGCACTGAGGTCAGGCTGACAGGCCTGTAGTTTCCTGGATCCTCCTGGCCCTGTAGATGAGTGTCACATTTGACAACCTCCAGTCAACTGGGACCTCCCCATTTAGCCAGAACTGCTGATAAATGATGGAAAGTGGCTCAGTGAGCACTTCCACCAGCTCCCTGAGTACACTGGGGTGGAGCCCCTCTGGCCCCATAGACCAGTGTGTGTCTAAGTGGTGTAGCAGGTCACTGACCATTCCCGCTTGGATTATGGGAGCTTCATTCTGCTTCCCATTCCTGTCTTCCAGATTAGAGGGCTGGGTACCTGGAGAACAACTGGTCTTGCTATTAAAGACTGAGGCAAAGAAGGCATTAAGTACCTCTGCCTTTTCCTCATCCCTTGTCACTATGTTTTTCTCCCATCTAATAAGGGATGGAGGTTTCCCTACATAATCTCATGTCATGCCTGTAGTCCTCCTTAATTGCCTGCCCCTACTTCCAAATGTTATCAACTCTCCTTTTTTCCCTGAGTTCCTCCCACGTCTCTCAAGTTCAACAAGGCCAGTCATCTTGTCTTTCAGCACATGGGGATGGCCCATTCTCAAGCACTTCCATGGTTTCTAACACATCAATATCCCTTGTGGCTTTGCTGCCACATGGATTTCTGTCCCCTATCTCTCCTGAGACAACAGACCGAAGGACCTCCCCAGCACACTGTCCCTCAAACACAGGCATGTTGCTCCCAGGCTTATCTCTAGCAGGCCTGGTTTTATCCATTTGCCCCTTCCAATTCATTAGGATTCTGTGTGGAGTACTGAGTCCCTTCATCTAAACCCTATTGAAGGACTGAGGTATTTATCTATTAGGTAAGTGTTGAGCTCTGATTTAGAGTATGTAATAAAGCCACTGTGAAAAGATATTAAAAATAATCCATCTGAAATATTGAGTCTCATTATCAAAACCCACATACATTTACTGAGATGATTACATTTTCTGAACAGACAAAAGCCATATCCTTTTCACCAGTGTTGCGTTGCTTTTGGTTTGTTTTTTTCTTGACTCAGAACAATTGTAATAATGCCAGCAGCTTCCAGATATTATTGATCATAAAACCTTTATACATCAAAGGAAAACTAAGGAGCTGCCAAAGACTACTAAAAATAAATTTTTTATATATATGAAGGCCTGCTACAGTAGCTGAAGCTAGTGAAATAGATCAAAGAGTGACTTTTCTGAGCACATTTTCTGAGTATGGGAAGAATACAGGGGAGTGTTCTTATCATTTAGGTATTTAGCTAATCCTGTCAGAAGGAACAGCAGTATTTAATATTTAGTAGTGTCAGCATGTGCCTTTTAATCTGTCTCATGCACTCAGTAAGTGCATAATAAAGCAACAGTATTTTGGTAATATTTGAATAGTTTTAGTTAGCTTGAATTGACTTGGGGTGGTTGTGTTCTGATAATCTATGTGGGAGCTTGCTATTCACTGAATTTCTCTACTGGAGCATTAATTCTGATAGAATATGAGAGGAGTAAGAGGAAGTGTCAAATGGGGATTGAGTGGCAAACTGACTAAAGGTTGGGTTGAATTGACTATAGCACCTTTAAATATGATTGGTAACAAACTGTATATCTTAAAAAAATTAAATGCATTTCTCAATGTCATTGTGAGTTTTAAAAGTAGTGGTAGCAACTACTAAGAAGACAGCTTCTATGTTTAACTGAACATTCCCAGGGATAATATTAAAATCTAGTTCAAAACTCAGATTTGTTATTTAGGAGCTGACCCTTCCTGGCCCCATTTTAAGCAGACTGTCCTGTTGGCAATTTTTAGCTTCTACTGTCACTAAGCAAGATTGGTACCCTACAGGGTAATCAGATTTAGCCAAACAAGAACTTAATTTGCATCCTGTGCAGAGCCCATGGGCCAGTCTTTTGCATAAAGACTGGAAGGTTGAAATGGTTTCAGGAAAGGATAATATATGCTTGGAACTGTAATATGCATAATAACATTTTCATATTAAAAATTATATCCACTGATCGTTGTAAACTGATTCACAGAATAACAACCCCATAGTTGAATATTCAGGTTTATTTCACAGGAAAAAAAATAGTAAGGGAAGCACAACTTACTTTATTTTTTATCAGTTTATGCCTTAAAAAGAGTTTATAAGTACATGGCATGTAATTATCTTGAAGTACATACTCATTAATATTCATTATTATATAAATCACTTCTTTGTGCCTTGACTTTGCATTCATTAATGAATTAAGATTTACCCAGGTATTGTGAAATTTATATGACTGATACATTCAAATAGCAGATCCTGTGGAAGTGCAAAAGCAGTGCTTTTGGCTAGAAACAGTAAAGGCAAAAAATTGCGTGATCCCTTTTTAAGTGTGATCTTACTCAGGAGTATTATTTTGTAATAATTTCCCCACTGTCAAATGCTCTGAAGACTTGGTTCATTTCATATAGTGGCTTGTGTTTTACTAGTTCAAACCAGATACACATTTAAATAGAGTCTTATATTTTGCAGGGAAAGGCACAGTGATTTTGCTTGTTGGTGTATGCAGGTTCTCATCTTTAGGGTGGTCCCAGGGGTGTTGTGACCAGGGCCTGAGACAGCAGGAGGCAGAAAAAAATGACTGTATACATCTCCCGAGGCTGGCAGGAGGCAATCAGCACTCATCCTAAGCCAGGGCAGCCCTGAAGCTGCACCTGTGATGGACCATGACTGGCATGAGTTTCCAGCAGCCCCCACGCCACTCAAGAATTTCCGTCATTCAGCAGTGCTCTGTTCACACCGCTGCCTCCAAAGAGCCCACTGATATGATTCAGCTGCAGAATTGGCTGTGATACTTTCATCAGCTGAGCCAAAACACATTAACAGGCAAAACACAAGTTTCAGACTCATAAGAAATTCAGGTCACTATTCATATCTCATTGTAAAAGAACTTCCTGTTGACAAATTGTAAGAAGTCCCTGCCATGGAAAAACTCTCATATGGTGATCAGGGTGTAGCAGACATTGGCTGTTTTTAAAGGATTCCAGAAAAGTTACAGACTTTAATTTCTAGAATGACTTGAATAATTAGAAGTCTAAATTCTTGGGGGAGGGCAAGGGGGGTTATGTCTTGTTTTGCAAAACAGACTTTGTAGTCAAGGCTATTTAAGAAGACAAAATCCATGAATTGCAAATTTCGAAAGAGATTAA